TTCGCCAGGTTTATCCCACGCGGCTGGGGTTGCCGCCAATGCCGCTGTCTGATGGTGCTCTGACAGCCTGAAGTCCATGCGAGGATCACATTGGGAATGGGCGGTCAGGTGCCCCCTGGCCTGCTCCTGGCTGGTGTCGGCCTACACTGATGGCCGAAAAGGGTTCAGTGGGATCTCGCTACGCTGCCGACCTCTACAGTGCAAGGAATTCGGGTTCGGCATGTGTGGCTCTGTGCGCCCGTCGGCTGCTTTCTCCTGCAAGGACTCCGCTTTCGACAAGTGCCACTGCTCTACAAACAAGAGTTACTGCCGTTTGCAGTCCTATCTGTGACGAGGTTGCCCCTCTTCACTCCTTGCGCTGACACGATGTTTCGGCATTTGTGTTCGTCCACTTCACGGATGTCATCCTGGGGTGCTTGTCGGTCTCGTTCGTCTCTGACGTTGCCGTCTGTCTGACTCACACCGAGTGATCGACCTCTACGTGATTTTGGTCGCGCAGCCGCGCCATTTTGGCTGCGTCTACTCGCTGGTAGCCGCCGGGATTTTCGGACGCCGCCGGGAATGGGTCTACCGGTTCTTCTCGCCCTTCTGAGCTGCCGCCCGTTTGCTGCGCCTGTTTTGCTTTTCCGCTGTCTAGTCGTGGCCCGGCTAGAGTTTGGACGCCTTTCGAGCCGCTTCGCGAGGCCGTTGACCCAAAATTATCCCCACCAGCTCGTTGCGCGCCCCAGTCGCTGTGGCTCCCTCGTAGGCCGTAATTTGGATCGTTGCGTTGTTGCTTCGCTTCGTGACGGCGCGCAGCTGCTCTGTGTGTCGCTCGCGAACAAAAAAGTATCCCCACCAACCCATCCAGAAACGATATCCACGAGAACTAACCGGGAAAGAGAGGAATATACAGATAGTCTGACAGCGCGAGCAAGTCGGGTGAATCCAGAAGTCTCTTGGCGCGAGGGGGGGCCGGCTTGGAGGGCATGTTGGGGTAATCCCTGGGCCCGCGCGGGGGTCGCGGAGGAGGACAAGGAGGAGGAGGAGGAGGAGGAGGAGGAGGAGGAGGAGGAGGAGGAGGAGAAGGAGGAGGAGGAGGAGGAGGAGGAGGAGGAGGGGACGAGGATGACGTGGAGGAGGAGGAGGAGGAGGACACGGGAGGGGAAGGAGGGAGGAGAGGAGAAGGAGGCCAACCAGAAGGCCAGAGGCCTCTTGGATGTCAACGACAATCTCTTGGGATGCTTCTCGGAGCCTTGCTTGGAGGCCTCTTGAGGCGTCTTGGGGGCCTCCTGGCGGTCTTGTGAGCTTCTTGGGACGTCCTGTATGCCGCTGGGAGCCTCTTGGAGCTGTCTTGGGGGCCCCAGAAGGCTTCTTGGAGCCATATTGGAAGAGCTCGAGCAAATAATGGGGGGGTCTTGAATTAGCCTCCCCCCTCGGAAGCCCCCACCATCGCCTCTTGGGCCCCTCTTGGAGCGCTCTTGGGGCGTTCTTGGGCGCTCTTGGGCCCGTCTTGGGGCTCTCTTGGGCCTCTCTTGGGGCCCCCATTCGGCTCGAGCCGTCTTGAAGCCTCGGAAGGCCATCAAAAGTAACAAGGCGAGAAGGCACAACTCATTGATTTTCCTTACATTTTGTATGATGTTGGCCTCATAGGGGCCTCCGTGGAAGGCTCCGTGGCACCTTGGAGCCGTCTTGGAACGGTCTTGGAGCCTGTTGGAGCATATCGGACACCATATTGAGCCAGCTTGGGCTATCTTGAGACATCTTGGAGGTCATCTTGGGCTCTCTGAGGCGCTCCTGGAGCCATCTTGGGCCATCTTGGGCGCTCCAACGCCGCGCGAAGACCCCCCCCTCCAGGTCCAGGGGATGGGTAGGGGGAGGGGTAAACCCCTCCCCGAAGGGGAATAATGGGGTTGGAAGAGAAACCGCCCTAGACCACCTACGCCCAGAGGGTTGGTGGGAGTCTAAGCCATGCCAAGCAATGCCAAGCGATGACACGCAGTGCAAAACAACGTGACGCACTGCCAAGCAATGCCAGGCAATGCCAAACGGCGCCAAGCCATGCCATTCGATACAAAGCAATGCCAATCAATTTCAAGTCATGCCAAGAAGTGCACGGTAATGTCGGGCAACGTCAAGCATCTCCAAGCAATGCCAAGCGATGTCAAGCCATACCACGCAATGCCATGCAGTGCCAAGCAATGCGATACACTTTCAAGTAATACTGAACAGAATGGAGCAATCTCAAGCACTGCCAACTAATGCTCAGCAATGGCAAGGGATGCCACGCAATGCCAGCCAATACCAAGCGATGCCAGTTACCGCCAAGCAATGCACCGCAATGCCAAGTAGTGTCAAGCAACTCGCAGCAATACCAAGCACTGCCAGGCAACGCAAAGCAATGCAGCTCAATGCAAAACAGTGCGAAGAACCGCCAAGTAATGCTAAGCAATGTCATGCAATGCCGAGTAACGCGACGCAACGCCAATCACTGCCAAGCTATTCGAAGCGCTGTCAAGCGATGCCAAGCAATGCCAAGCAATTCCAAACGATGCCAAGCATTGCCGAGCAATGCCAAACAATGCCACGCAGTGTCAAACAATCCAAAGCAACGCCAAGCAATCCAAAGCAGTGTCAGTCAATGCCAAGCAGTGCCAAGCAATGCCAAACAACGCCAAGCAAATCAAACCATTGCCAGCCAATGTCAAGTAATGCCAAGCAACGTCAAGCTATGCCAAGCGACGCCAAGCGACGCCAAGCCTTGCCGTGCAACGAGAACCAATGCGAAGTGATGACAAAGCAACGCTAAGCGATGCCAAGCAATGCCAAGTAGTGCCGAGCAATGCCAAGCGATGCCGAGCGACGCCAAGCGATGCCCAGGAATGCCGAGCGATGTCGAGCAGTGCAATGCCAGGATAATGCCATGCCAAGGAATGCCACGCCCCTCCAAACAATGCAATGCAATGCCGCCTCGTAAGCGTTCTCTGATCTGCGTCGCGCCATATGCCGCGGCTGCCCCGTGCGGCTGCACCGTGGTTGTTTCTAGAAGTCGAGCTGTGCTTACATGGAGTAGTAGTCGTCAGACGGGCCCCCATAGCTTACAGCCTGTACTGAGCTTTGAGGCCCTGAAGGGCTCCTCCAAATTTCGTCCACGCCTCTCGTGTCGCCGTCATTGCGCGATGTGACCCCGGTCCAAAACTGCGCCTTCGAGTCTCTCCTTGGGAAAGGGGGGGGATAGCAAGGGTTGCGAACTGACATCGCACACGCCTTTGGATGCAAGGGTCCTGTCGGACTGTGCGTGCTTTTTTTTGAAGCCGCCGGGTGCCGTTGCGAACGTTGCGGTGGTGGCCGCAGTGAGGAAATTGCTTCCGCCTTTGACGGTCCGCCACGAGCTTTCCAATGATCTTGGATGCGGGGTCCAGGAGCTGTTCGCTTTGCTCAAGGACAATCAGCTGACCAACTTCGACCCTGTGAAGGAGGCCTTCAAGGCCGACGTTTCCCCCTGCCGCTCTCGTGCCTTGCGGGCCCTCCCGTCAGCACGCAGCGCGCCCTGGTGCCGTCGCGCCAGGTTCCATCGTCTTGTCGTGACATGCTTCCCTGACTTTGTCGAAGCAGCAAACGCACCACAAAACATGGTGATCGCACTGCCCAGGTCGTCGACGTAGCTGTTGTTGTTGTTGTTGTTGTTGGTGTGGTAGTTGTTGTTGGTGTTGGTGTTGGTGTTGGTTTTGTTGTTGTTGCTGTTGTCATTGCTTTTGCTGTTGTTACTGTTGTTGTTACTGTTGTTGTTACTGTTGTTGTTGCTGTTGTTGTTGCTGTTACAGTTGTTGTTGTTGTTGTTGTTGTCGTCGTCGTCGTCGTCGTCGTTGTTGTTGTTGTTGTTGGTGGTGTTGTTATTAGGTTTTGCTTGTTGGCGTTGTTGTTGTTGTTGTTGTTGTCGTTGTTGAATTTCTCATCTCTGAAGAAGGAATATGGTTGATCTCCCCCACCCTCTGTTCACCATTGTATTCTTTCAGTTGATGTGCCCCCATCGGGGCTCGCGCCCAGTTGTTCTATAAGGAAAGCTCGTGTCACCAAACTGGGCCCCTGGCCCCGGACTTACAGCAACAACGGCTCCCGCCTGATTGTTCCTCACAAGTTATTCCCAAATCGCGCTATCGCGCGGGACCTCTTCACAATTTATAGAGGAATCGCGCTCTCGCGTGGGAAATCCTTGCAATTTATTCGAGCGCCGCGCCCTCGACACTCAGGAATCAAATTTCCCTTCGGCCTTTCTCACCATTTATTTTTGATCGCGCTATCGCTCGAGCTCTCCTCGCTATTCATGCAGCACTCACACTTCAGCAGCACGCCTTCTCGACCTGGCCGCTTGGGCCCGCCTTCCCGACCCGTCCGTTAGTGATTACCCGCCCGATCAGCTCGTTTGGTTCTGCCATGTGTTTGCTGCTCCTCTCCCCCTCCTGCTAATCCCGTGCTCCATCCTTCTCCCTCCTCCTTCCATCCGTCCTCTCTTCCCCTGTCTCAGGGGCTGCACCAATTACGCGCGGCAGGTAAGGAAGATATACCTCCACGTGGGTACGATCGAAGACAAAGAGGGCGGGTACCGAGGATTTTGAGATCTAAGTGTTGAGTGGCACGCGAGCAGTTAAGAGCGAACAGTCTTCTAATGATTGTTATTGCTGCTGCTGCTGTCATTGTTGTTGTTGTTGTTGCTGTTGCTGCCGTTGTTGTTGTGGTTGTTGTTGTCGTTATCGTTGAACTCTCACTACGGAACAAAAAGGTTTGTTGATTTCCCCCCTTCGGTAACCATTGGGTTTTTTTGGTATTGAAGTGTTTCCCGTAGGGCTCGCACACGGTGTTTCTATCAGGGAGGTCACTAAGCTCAAACTGCGTTGTTGGCCTTCGGATTACAACATCAACGACTCCCGCCTGAGAATTCCTCACAATTTGCTTAGACCCCCGCTCCCGCCTGAGACTTCCTCGCATATTACTCAGGAATCGCGCTCTCGCTTTGGATCTCTGTGCAACTTATGCAGGAATCGCTCTCTCGGCGCTCTGGAGTCGCGCTCTCGCTGGAGACTTGCTTCTACTTTACTCAAGAATCGCGCTCTTGCGTAGGAATTCCCAGCAATTTACTCAAGCGCCGCGCTCCCGACACTCAGGCACCCAGGAGTCGCGCTCACGCTGAGGACTCGACTCCCTCACAGCTTACTTAGGAATCGGGATCTCGTTGCCCTTCGTGGCCCCCGTTGCAGCCCTTCCTCGCTGCCCTTCGGGGACCCGTTGCAGCCCTTCGTGGCCCCCTCGATGCCCTTCGTGGCCCCCGTTTCAGCCCTTCGTGGCCTCCCCGCTCCCCTTCGTGGACCCGTTGCAGCCTTTCGCGGCCCCCTCGCTGCCCTTCGTGGACCCGTTGCAGCCCTTCGCGGTCCCCTAGCTGCCCTTCGTGGCTCCGTTGCACCCCTTCGTGGCCCCCTCGCTGCCCTTCGTGGCTCCGTTGCACCCCTTCGTGGCCCCCTCGCTGCCCTTCGTGGCCCCGTTGCAACCCTTCGCGGCCCCCTCGCTGCCCTTCGTGGCCCCGTTGCAACCCTTCGTGGCCCCCTCGTTGCCCTTCGTGGCCCCATTGCAGCCCTTCGTGGGCCCCTCGCTCCCCTTCGTGGCCCCATATATGTATGCCCTTCATGGCCCCCGCTAGTTCGCGCACGTCGTGGCCCCACATGCATGCTGTTCCTGGCCAGCGCGCTGTCGCCCTTCGTGGCCCCCTTGCTGCCCTTCGTGGCCCCGTTGCTGCCCTCAGTGGCCCCGTCCTTGCCCTGTGCGGCCCAATATACGTATGCCCTTCGTGGCCCCCGCGCGTTCGCGCGCGTCGTGGCCCCATATGCATGCCCTTCGTGGCCCCGCTGTCGCCCTTTGTGGACCCCTCGCTGTCCTACGTGGCCCCGTTGCTACCCTCAGTGTCCCCGTCGTTGCTTTCTGTTGCCCTGCAGTGTCTGCTCTTCGTGGCCCCCGCTCGTTCGCGACATTCGTGGCCCCATACGCATTCCCTTTGTGGCCCCGCTGTCGCCCTTCGTGGCCCCCTTCTTGCCCTTCGTGGTCCCGCTGTCGTTATCGCTCTCGCTCTCGCTTTCGCTCGTCGTCGTCGTCGGTCCCCTGTCCGTCCCTCTGGGGTCGGGCTGCCGCCGATCAGTGCTGCCGCTGGCCAGGCCAACGGTCCGCGGCCGCCCCGCCGCTTGCCGTGGCCCGGCCTGCAGGGAAGAAAGATGTACCCCCCAAAAGGGGTACCATCGAAGACGAAGAGGGCGGGTATCGAGGGTTTGGAAAATACACGTTGAATGATCCTCGTGCAGAAATGAGCGAACAGTCTGAAATGATTGCTGTTGTTGTTGCTGCTGCTTTTCGCGAAGCGTGCCCCTGGAGCCCTCAGCCCCGTGTCTGGGGCAAGTTTTCCGCCGCGAACCGTTTCGTGAATGCCCCCATGGTCTGGGAACCCACTGGCCACCCAGAGGCCCCCCCTCTCCCCACCCAGAGACCCCACGAGGAGAGCGAGTTTTGGGTGGGGGGGGGGTGCACGTTCGTCCGTGCTGCCTGCATGGGTCTGCTCCGCTGTACCCACCGTAAAACACAGTACTTCGATCTTCAGCTAATCAGACCGCCGCGGGAACAACAAGTGACCACCCGCCGCGGAAAAACAATTTATCTGAGAGAGTCTTATAGAATCCGGAGGAATCTGGAGGAGTCCTGAGGACAGGAAGAATTCTGAAGGAATCCAACTGAATCTGGAGCAACCGAAAGGCATCCTGACGAATCTGGAAAAAATCCGGAGGAACTTGGAGGAATCTAGAGGAACCCCAATTCTTCGTTAGGAACCGATTGGAACCGTGAAGAGTCTTACGGGATCCTTAGAAATCCGGAGGACTTGGAGATAACATCAGGTATCTGGAGGTATCCAAAAGAATCCACAGGAACCTGGCAGAATCTACTGGGATTTTGAGCAACTCAACGGAAGCCGAGAGGAAGCTTATGGAATCCTCAGGAGTCTGGCGGAGCACAGAGGAATTTGATGGAATCTCTGGAGGGATCCTGAGGAATCTGGACGAATCCCAAGGTATCTGCAACCCAGTGGTGCCCGTGAAGTGACTTCAGGCGGGACGGGCGCCTCGAAGAGAACATGCGTAACGCCCAGCGGAGGCAGGCAGCTGCGCGGATGGCGATAAGCGTCGTAATTTGTAAGGATTCTGACCGCCGCGTCGTCACCGCAGAGGAATCAGGTGGAATTTCGAAAGGGCAAGAGCATGCGCAATTGAACGCGTCGGCGCAAAGTTCGTTCGGGGCATGTTGGGGCCTCTGAGGGCCGTTTGGGAGCGTGGAGCTTCTTGAGGGCATCTGGAACCGTCTTGGGTTGCTCCCAGCGCCTTCGGATTCCGCTGTGGGGGCCTTCGAAGGGCCGTCTTGAGAGTTTTGTAGGCTTCGTGGGGGCCTTCTGGGGTCGTCTTGGGGCCCTCTTGGGGGTTTCTTTGGCCGTCCTGGGGCTTGCTTCGGGGCCTCGTGGGCCGTTCTGGAACGATCTTTGGTGCCTCTTAGGCCGTCTCGGACACTACGAAGAAGAAACTAGCGACGTCGCGAAAATACAACTTTCCTGGAGGATTAAAACGATTTTTCCTTCTCGGGGCCTTATGGGGAGTCGTCTTGGAGCCTTGTGGGTAGTAATCTTGGAGCCCCTCTGGTGGCGTCTTAGGGGCCTCTTGTGGTGTCTTGAGGCTATCTTTCAGCGTTTTCGTGCCATCTGAGGCCAGGTGGAGGCCGTCTTTTTGGCCGTCTTCAGGCGTCCAGGGAACAAATCGTTGCCATCGGCGGCCGTCTGGGATCTTTTCTCGAGTGGATGACAACCCCCAGGGATCCGTGGGGACCCCTTCCCCCCCAAATCGACGGGGCCGGGCTCCCGGGGGAGGGGCTCGGGAGGGGCAGCCCTCGCACGCACGCCGAGAAACCTCCACCGGGTCGACGGATGGCTCCACGACTCGGTGCCTCTGGCTCCAGGCGCCATGGGGTCACGAAGACAACCCCCGGACTCGCTTTTGGGCCTGTTTTGGATTCGGCGGATGCAGCAGCGGCGACGGGAGCCCTGAGACCACACCTCTAAAGCCCTGCGACCATACTCCTCCCCTCCTGTTTTGAAGTGCCAGTGTCCGATGTCCATCTCTTTCGAGTGCCTCCGAGTGGCTCGAGTGGCTCGTGTGATTCGCGCCTTTGTTCAACAGTTGCCGGCTGTGCTGTCAGGACTGCTCCACAGAGATGCCGTATTGTGGTGCTGTCCGCGGAATGATAACAAACAGACACATGCCTCTGGAGCCACGCGGCGAAACACCTCAGCGTCGGATGTCTGGGGCTTCGTCGCTCGCAGGCCGCCGAGCTGCGGGCCTCGTGGCGCGTGGCCGGCGCAGCGGGGCAGGGCGCAGGCCCCGCGGCCCACCGGCGGTGGCCCTGTCCTGGGGCCCTGGCGCTTCGCTGTGAGTGGTTCGCTCGCCCCTCCCCCTCCCCCTGGTCTCCCTGCCCCCTCCCCTCTCCCCCTTCCCCTCCTCCCCTCGGTATCGTCAATCCGATCCCCCATCCCCATCCCCATCCCCTTCGAGACCCCCACCTAATTTACCCCCCGAGTTGGGGATGCCTCCCTCGAAACCCGAAGGGAACGGCCTGCATCCCCATCTGGGGGGTAAATCGGCCAGGGGGGCCCAGGCCACGCCGCTGGGGATGGGGATCGGATAAACGATACTCATCCCCCCTTCGGGCTCAGGACGGGCCGCCTGGCTGGCCGGGTCCCCGAGGGCGCCCTCCAGCGCGCGCTTCCTGGGATAGGAGGCTCAAGTCTGCGCGGGTGGACGACGGACCGACCGACCGACCGACCGACCGACGGACGACGGACGACGAACGACGGACGACGGACGACGGACGACGGGCGACGAGGACAAGGAAAGGCAAGGACCGCCCAAGAGCCGCAAGCGGCTCAGGCGTCTCGGTGCACGAGGCACCGACAACGAGGAAGGGCCCGCCCTGCAGCATCGGTTGACGGCACGTCGTGGAGCGGTGCCGCAGCCTCCCCTGAGCACGGGCTCCCCCCGGAGCCACTGCCAGACTGGTCGGGTTGGCACCCTCGGGCCTTGCAGCGCTCCGGGTGCGTTTCGGGGCTCTCTCCCACAACCTCGTCAGGGCCACCGACAAGGGAGAGGGCGGCGGACGACGACGACGACGACGGACGACGGACGACGGACGACGCACGACTGAGGACGGACGACGGACGATGGGCGACGGACGGCGGACGACGGTCGACGGACCACGGACCATGGACCACGGACCACGGACAACGGACCATGGACCTCGGACGACGACGACGACGACGACGACGACGACGACGACGATGCCGACGGCGGCGGCGGCGACGACGACGACGACGACGGAGGGTATGGAAGCTCATTCCGCACGCCTGTGGCCCACAGGGCGCGCGAATCCCTGGAGCGCACGAGTGCGACACCAAAGAGCGCAGAGTAATAGGAGCACGAAGGTGAACATAAGCCTGTCCCCAGGGCACCCTGGCCGGCTACTTTGCCCGCCAGCAGGATCCTTTGCTCGCCGCCTTGTGGGCCCGCGGTGTCGGAGGCAGGGCCGTAGCCAGCTAAACAGCTGAATATCTAAGCCCGGCCCCTCGGCAGCGCACGCGCAGCTTCGCACGCACATTGAAAGCGAACATTGAGGCTCGATCTCTTTGTCGAGCGGTGGTGCAGGCGTCCTCGCCCTCCCCCCCTCCAAGTAGAATCCTCCCGTCGAAATCCAGCCCCATTGCAACGCTCGGTCGCATCGCACGTACATCGAAAGCGAAAATTGAAGCTCGATGTCTATGTCGAGCGGTGATGCAGGAGTCTTCGCCCCCCCTCTACCAAATGGAATCCTCCCGGCCCGCAAGCACTGCAAGGTCTACGACCCGCACGGTACAGGGTTTGTCGACATGGAGGTCATCAAGTCTTTTTTCAAGGATGGCCGCGTGGCCATTGTCGCGCCAGAGCACGCCTGCTGGCCTCATTGTTTGTCACCTGCTCATGCCAGCTTTCCTGCGTCGCTTTCTCATGCCGTCTTGCCGAACCTTTCGCTCGTGACCGTCCCCTGCCTCTTGTGCCCTCCTTGGGGATCTTGTGGGCCCCCTTTCGGTGATTAGCGCGGCCAAAACTCCTGGCCGCTCTCATGACCGACCAAAGCGAACATGCCAAGAGCAAACATGACCCAGTTCGGCTTAGTCATTTTGGCCTCTGGGGACCCTCTCGGAATCCTCTCGGGGCATCTTGGGCCACCTTGGAGCCACTTCCTGGGCAGTCCCGGGGCCGTCTTCGGGCCACCTCGTTGGCTGCACGTAAGAGTGACCTTTCGCCGAAGTGGCTTTTGGCGGGGACATACTGGGGTCCCCAGCTGGCTGAATGCGATGCGACAGTGGCGGCTTCTGCGCTCGGCTTTGACACCCCCGCGCTCCCCGAAATTCGCGCATCAAAGGCCACTTCTTGCCGAGGGTTACGTCGGGCCTGTCCTTCTTCAGGAGGGATATTCAAAAATACAAAAAAAATAGTCTGGGGTCCATTTTATGATTATTTCCGAGCAATTTTTTGAGTATTCTTGGAGTTTTTGTTCCCCTAACTGTTTTTTCTTTCAAAATCCCCCTGTAGGTGGACATTCCTGCGTGCAGCCGAACATCAGCCCGCCCCGAGGCCCTGCTCGGCCGGCCCGGTGCCCCTCGCGGCCAGCCAGAGGAGCGAGCACAGGGCTCGTGGTCTGCAGGCGGGGCGTGGGGCGCTTCAAGTCGGGCCTGTGTCCCTCCACAGGGGGAATACTCAAACATAGCAAAAATAGTCCAGGGACGTTTTTTTTTTTTTTTTTTTTTTTTTTTTTTTTTTTTTTTTTTTTTTTTTTTTTTTTTTTTTTTTTTTTTTTTTTATATTAAAAATTTTTATTTTTTTTTTCTCTCTCTCTCTCTCTCTCTCTCTCTATATATCTATATAAAAAACATATTGGCAATTCTTTTTGTTCCTTCAATTTTTCGTCCAAAATCCGCCTTTAGGGGGACAGGACCGACCTAAGGCTTGCTGGGGGTGGGTGGGGGTCAGCGGCGAAATCCGAACCCTACCCTCGCCGATTAACGATACAAGGCAACTCGATGGACGGCGGGGGTAGGGTTCGGAATTCGTCGAGCACGTGGCGAAAGCCGAACCCTACCTCCGCCTCCCATCAAGTCAGGAGCATCGATGGTTGGTGGGGGTAGGGTTCGGATCTCACCACCCAGGAGGGAACCTTTGAAAACGCCAATCTCATGTTCTGCGTGTCGCTTCGGGCGTGTGGGCCTTGTGCCTCTTGCGCGTGGAATTCGATGCGAGCATTGAAAATGACGGCTTGGAATATGAGATTCCGTCTGTCAGAGATGAGCTCACTTTGATTGTTGTATTTCGAATGGAGCACGCAAGAGACAGCAGAGGAGAGACGCCCGAGGCACATCGTCCCAGACGACCTGAGGATGCGGTCATCGGGCATGACTCTTCAATTCATGATTCCAATGTAGCGGAAAGTTTGCATCGCTATCAGCATTGCCCGGCCGCGCGAGAAAGCCCGGCGCCGATCCCGATTCCAAAGTCGCTTCTGCGTAGCACTATCAGAAGATCCTTATCTCGATCGATATGAGCAGCAATATTGTGCGCAAGGTCAAGAGGCAGTCAAGGATCGCATGGGTTATTATCTTGGAAGTTTCGATGAAAGATAGTTGTTGGTCCCGAGGGCCGCGGCTTTGCCCGTCGGCCGAAAAATAGGTGTCCCGGGAAAGCGAGCGTCCAGGGTCTGACTTTTCGGCCGGCATGTGCGGGTTCTTCCCTCGTGCGCAAGCGCGGCAATCTCAGTTGGTTTTGGTCGGGGTGCATCGACGTGAAAGAGCGCGAGCGCAATCGGTTTTTGATGCGGATGGCAACCGAAAGTGGCAGAGAAAAGGGGAGCTAATGAAGCGAGACTTCGCGGAGAGCTGGCCGCGCAAGTTCGCCTGGTCCAAACGCGGGGGGGCGAACGCCTCCTGAATGTGAATGGCGAGAAGAGACTCTCATATATTCTTCTACAGGCCGCGCAGCAAGCCCATCTTGGCCAGCAGGCTGCGTCGGAAGCAACTTAGTTGTCTCCGATTGAGGCCGCAGGGCTGAAAGGAGGAGTCGGAAGAGTCCGCGGATAAAAAGATGATAGAAGCGGGAAACATAATAGCGGGAGAAATCGCACTTCAGAAATTGCACATGCAACGATGCGCGCAGTAGTCGGAGATACGGGGCAAGGGATTCCCATCGATCGGCAGACAACGCGACGCAGCAGAAGGCGGCACAAGCAGCTGTGTTGTTTCACCATTCGAATGAAGAGGCGAACATTCGGGAGCGCACCGCCACTGACCGTGCAACGAACCTGTAAGCCGACATGAACGCGCTTGCTGAGGATCTTGCCAAGCAAGAGAGGCATATGATAATTTGATTTTCCCGGGGCCTCAACGTGTGCCGGGGTGGAATGGTGAGGCGACGCCTTCTGGGCCGCGGATTCAACCCGCAGTTTTGCTGCGACCCCGCCTGCCTTGAAGATTCGGGCCGGAAAACATCTTCCCGGGAGTGGTGGGTCGAGTGGGCTGGCGCTGGGGGCTCAGCCAGGGGTGCCGGGAAGCTCGACGTGTCAGACCTCGGGGGGGGGGGGGGGCGCGGCTTCGCGTCGCTGCAGTTTCGGGGGACATGCATGCGTGCCGTTTTTACCATGCTATGAAGAAGATGAGTTGCGTTCAGCGTTCCAAGCCATGTTGTGGGAGTCGCATTAATTCCACGACCGAGCGATGAAGACAATGCGTTCGTGACGAGGCGGGTCCGAGGCAGAAGTGGCCCTGGAACGTCGAGATGGGGATCGTTGGGGTTCCCGACACATGGGAGAACAGGCGCGCGTGGCTAGTCTCACTCGACGGCAGGGGGATATCTTCAAGCATGTCCGGCAAGAACGCGATTGATTTGAAAGTGCAAAACTGGCCGAACAGGGAGTTGAATCAGATATAACGACCTTCAGAAGTGCTCGACTGTCATTCGTGCTCTCCCGAACAGTTTGAGCAGCGCTTCCGAGGCGCGCCTTCGTTCTTTCAGTTTCTCGGACCATCGGGGGATTCACCGTCTAGAGCGCGCCGGAGATGCCGGGTGGGCCGCCTGGTCCAGCGCTGAGCGCTCGCGACTCAGTCGGGGGTCGAGGTGGCGGAGGAGGCGGCCCACCCGGCGGCGACGGAGATGGCGGGGCGATGGTGGAGACCACGAGGGGCCCGTCACATATTCATTCGATTTTTGGAAGCAAATGAGGAAGAGAACGGGAATCAAGCTGATGCCCATCCCTAAGACTGCGGGGCTTCGGGGATTGTATTTTCATGCGACGCGAGTGACATCGTCGGATCATCAGATGCGCGAGAGGCATCGCCTTGGATTGCTTAGCGATGGATCCCGATGTAGACCTCAATGTTCTGAGGCACTCAGGGAAGTAGAACGGATCGATATGCTGATCGCATCGGACTGGACAGGGAAGATTTCAAACATGAATCAGAACAATGATATCCCGCCGCAGCTGGCGCATCCTATTGCACAACCTCCGCGATTGGAGTATGGCGCGTGCAGCGAATCTTGTTTTTTTACCGGGCGAGAGATGATACGTCTGATTTGTTATCGATTTCCCGTTCGTGCAGTGCCTGGCAGGAACGTGGTGTTCCGGCATTCGTCTAACATCGTCATCAATGAAAGCAAACCAAATGAGGACTTCTATAATTTCTACAGGAAGCGAATGTTTCCTTATGGCGACCTTTACAGAGGTTCCAAACCATCCCCAGAGGTGTCCGCAGCGACCCATGGGCATTTCTTAGAGAAGATGATTACCGTTTCTGGAGATGCAACGGGTAATTACCTTTTACGAAACAAGCAATTGTAAGGTTGGAACAGACGTATAAACATACGAGTGGATGCTGCATCAAGTGCAGAAGTGCACGGGTAACGGGCGGGGTGGATTTAATTTGGGTTGTCGGAAGAAGAAGCTCAACCAAGGAAGAAGCCTGGCAAGTCTGCTGTTCCAGGTCCTGCTGGCCGAAGGAAGGCGTTGGTCACGCCCGCGGAAAATGGGGGCGTGCAACTATGTTCTGCAAGGTGGCCGATGCCCATAGAAGGAGCAGGGATGCCCGCGCAGTAACAGGAAACCCAAGGCAACCCCCGCCCCGCAACTGGCTCAGCCGACTGCGAAGCCGAACGCGGACAAGGATGCATGGCAGGTTACATGGGGGGAATGGGACGACCCCAAGATGGGAAGAAGGGCAGGGGGTAAAATTTCGGAGATAGGTGGGTCTACTACCCTGGGGCCCAAAGGCGAGGGGCTCGCCCCAGGGTTCCACAGAAGAGCGGCAAGAACATATGATTTGCCATGCTTTTTTCGAGGGGCAAATGCCGAGGTCATCAAAATGGCCCGCCCTGTTGCCGGCAGAGTCGAACATTGTCACCGGTTGAGGTTCTGCGACGTGACAAACGGGAGGGAACTTGAAAGAAAGCAAAGAAACAGCTGCATGCGCGAATCCAAAAACAGTTTGAGTTCGCTGCGGCCAACGTGGCTGAGGCAATTTTTGCGGTTGTTTCCGACGCTAGCATGCGGTTCCCAGACAAAATCGGCACACCCCTCGCGCGTTTCGCGGCCCCATCGGGATCTCCACCGAAAGCGGTGCAACAACGCTATATTCACAACTGCATGAAATGGAAAAGACTGGGGGCTGCCCAGCCACAAGAAAAACAAACGAGTCAGGCTGCTTAGAGGCCTGGTGCAGCAATCGCGGCCTATGATGGGCTCACGTTGGAACGTAGCCGAAGAGGTGAGAAAGGGCACCCCTCAGATGTTGCTCTGCCTCGTGGACTTGAAGTACACGTAGCAGAGTTGCTCGAAGTATGCAGCCACCCATTTGGAATACCTGAGCACATC